TAGACTTTTTTTTTCTTTTTTTTAAATTCTATATATGCATATATTATATTGGAAATAATCGTGGATATAAATATATATACTCCAATGATAACACCCCATACGTGGACGATTTGGCGCGCATAGCGCGCCATATACGCTAGTCACTCAAATGAAGTAGGTTTCAGGGCTCCTTAGTTGCTCCGTGTAACGGTTACCTGAAAATAAGTAGTAAAACTATTGGCGTGGAAGCGGCCTCGGACTGCCTATTCAATAAAAGCTAGGCCCCGCAAGGTGTGATTCCTTCACCCCACTTCACTTCATTGGCACCCTTTACGAACCATAGTGAAGAGCGCTTGAGAATCCATTATACAATTCTACTGATTCCTTATGTAAAAGCCGGAACACCAAGCATTCATTCAGTTCGTGTCTAGTATACTTTGAAATCAGAAATGGAAAAACTCAAGATCACTCGCAATAGCGGCACGAACGGAAATTCCTGATCGGCTAAAGTTTCTAACCATTTAAATTGGTAAGATCCTTTATAATCATAATATGGAGATTAATGAGTGTCTCATGGTTACTGTAGTGGAACATGCCCTACAAAGCGATTGATCGCGATTGATAAAAATCCAGCCAAGGCTACTTTTATGTTGATTCATTGCCGGGTAGTTCCAACATTTTCAGGCCCCTCTTAGCAACAGAGTTTCCCACCGACTTCTTTCATCACAAGACATCTTCGTAATAACACAAATTAATTGGAATATCTTCGATCACACGATCCTGCTATTGTTGCCTAAATACATTTACGTTCCGCTCGCAAGCTGGAAACACAATCCACGTTTCCTGTGGAAAAATTAAATCCGATTCATACGCTCCAACTGAGGATTATATTCTCTCAGACTCAATCATTCGACACCGAACCCCACAAGTGGTGACCCCATCGTGGTTGGATCAACGAAACAAATTAAATCATCGTATTAACGTGTTAACTAGTTCAATCCTGACTTGGTTCCTAGCCATCGTATTGTTTGGACATATGTTCACTGTGTGCGCTACTGCACCTCTGTGCTCCGTGTTGTATCGACACATCGTAAACCGAGAAAATGTTGATTCTGTTCGGCCCTCTTCGTCGTTCCCCACCTCCTGGAAACGTTACGATAGTTTACCGCCAGGAAGAATTCATTACGGTCAAGTCTCACAATTATATTCCAGATAAGTACGAATCCACCTCCACGGCCCGGCATTTTGCTAGGCCCTATTAATGTCTAAAACTGCGAATAGCGTCTCCGACATCCAACCAACGCCTCTGCAGGATGACTGACACGCCGAACTTCACCAACCCCAATGACTAATCTTCATCCAGAAATTAACCTCAAACCTGAGGCTCCGAATTACTCCTTCCTCAAAATCATATACGTCAACCCGCCCTCCAGGAATCAGATAGACTAGAAACCTCATTCTTACTGCTAAACGTGATGAATACTTCATATTTTGCGTTGAAAATCACATCGAATTTGATCCCAACTCCTTCACATGCCATAACGCGTCCAAATACCGGAACACTCCATCTCCCTCCACTTTAACTCATTTGTCCCATGCTATCTCGAATGTATCCATTAACGAAAATATTAATATGGATGTCAAACATCTAATCAAGATAAAAAACATTATGGGCAAACATCAGCCAAGTGAAAAAAGACTCGAATTATCCACACATTGAACACTCAAAAAAGCAGTGAAGAAGCAAACACACATACTACCACTGTGCCATAAATCAGGGATGGGCAACCTTCAGGTAGCTCGGAGCAGAGTCTGTGACGAGGCACTTTTTTAGCCCCTCCCCTGCCCCCTAATAATTATTTGTTTTATATATATAAGTAGGTTAAGGATTAGGTTAAGGAAAATGGACAAACCGACCACCGTTGGCACCCCACTCCCGAGAGATTCATTCCCCTTACCCCGCGGTCCCCCAGCCCTACGCTCACGCGGAGAATATCGCCACGAAGGAAAGAAACCCACCATCCCTACGTCACAGCCCACGTGACCGGAGAAGAACGAAACCCACCATCACTACGTCACAGCCCATGTGACGAGAGACGAGCGACAACCAGCACTCCTACGTCACGGCCCACGTGACCCGGAAGAGTGAAAGGGAATATTGGCTAATCGGGCATGAATTATAATGGGGACGAGGACACCCGATGACGAGTGTCCCCGATTGACCCCGATTATCGCCGATAATCGGGGAAGAACGAGCACGAGTGATGCGACGCCATCACTCGTAATACAGCCGCCCCGTGTGTAACCGTGTGTCATAAAGAGAGATTGTTAAGAAGAAATCATTGTTGAGAACGTGAGAGGAAGTTTTGTGGAGAGAGACTTGTGGAGGAGTTTGTCTTGAAGCGAGATTGGAGAATTCATTGTTGAGAAAGTGAGAGGAGGATTTGTGGAGAAATTGTGAGGACCTGTTCCCCAGGAGTGAGGACTAAGAGAGGAAGGACAGCCCTGTGTGGACGATTTCGTGTGGAGGATTTTTCCTGAGAGGATCATAATCGTCGCCGTCCCCGTGAGTACCCTTTCTTACCTTTCCCACCCCAACAAGTATTACCGACACCCCTGGAATAATATTTCCCCCCAACGGTGAGCCTCTAAATTCAATTATTATCATTATTTAATATTTACGGAAATTTATGTTTTGTTATCACTCAAGCCCCCTAATTAGCGATACTTTTTACTAGTACCCCTCACTTCTCCCCGTTTTTTCAGAGATAGAATCACCCCTTCTTTTTCTAATAATAATTGCGTGTTTGTCGCAAGCTGGCTGGCCTTACCCCCCACCCTTGATTAGTTATTAAGATAAGGTCACACTTTTGCTTCCATTTATTGGACTCGATCAAATTTATATTTAGTTATTAAAATAATGTCACACTATTGTCCCAGTTATTGAAATAGAATATATTAAAATTCAATCTACTTAAATCCCCCCGAGTAATTATTCACCCCCGCCCCCCCCCCTTTCTTCTCATTTCAGGTCCCCCCGCAACTACCAAGTAATTTCCCCTCAAAAATCATTCGTTTATTCCGTTATCATATTTATTAGTGACTTCACCGGGAGTTATTATATTTTAATTTCCCGGCCAAGGTCACAAGTCATAAACTCGAGTTAGGAATCCAATAAAGTTTATAACCATGCCAATTATAAGGGTCCTAGTACGGTCATAGTGGTGGCAGTAGTGGGGGGGCCTCACAGTCACCGTATTGGGGAGCGTCCCATGACGTCTGTGTCAAATGGTAAAATGGGGGAAAAGGCCGCCACGATTAATATAAATTTAAAAATCCACACATGGAAAAAAAATTTTTTGAATATGAAGATAACTACTGGTCATTCAGATAAACAATGAAGGTACTAGTCAAATTCAGCTTCCCGAATTGATGACATCTTTCAGCTTGCTTTCTAAATTTTTGATCCAATATCGACCTTACCGAAAAATATGTCAAGGAAAAAATACCAAACATTGCAGTTTTGACCGGCTGATGTTGATTCTGAATATAAAAAAGGAATATTTTTTAATAATAATATTTTTTTAAATTTTTTTCAATTACCATTTTTACTTCAATCAATGTCATTTGTTGAATAAATAATTGCGGCACCACTGGAACATGGCATTGTGAAATTTTTTCCTTGCCTCTGAAATTAAACTGCCGGTTTTTACGTTATTTCATTTGTAACGTCTGCTTTGAAAATAAATAAAAATGTCATGCTGAAGAAAATTTCACATTTTCCATTTTTGACTCATTTCCCCGCTTTTCCTTTTCTTCAACGACATTTCTCCTCTTTTCCTATTCTTGAGTGTTACCCCCACTTTGGTTGATTTCAGCCGAGGAGAAGGCCCTTTACGACTTAGGTCATAAAGGCCCATCACCCGACACAATAAGCTTTCGTCTACCCTTTGTTATGTACTAATAGAGGTCGAGTGCACGACTTGCTCTCAGAGCAGAGGTTGCCCATCCCTGCTATAAATGACCACCCGATTTACAAGCCTTACAAGACTTACAAACCACCCGCTTGCATGAACTGCAGAGGCCCCCATAGATCAGCAGGCTACCTTTGCTTTGAGCTACAAAAACAAAAAGCCAATCACAAATACGCAAGCTGTAATGGAATCACTTATATCGAAGCTCGACAAATACTTTTCAACTCTAGCTCCTGTCATCCCACCATCCATACCCCTGCTGAATTCTTCCTAACCTCATATACCCCACCAACAATTTCGTTCGTCCCAACAAAAGCTTTTCCTCCCGTAGCGCAGTCGACAAAAAATTCTAAAAGCCTTACTGTACCAACTGCTCCTTATTCTCACCCTCCCCCTCCATCAATCAATCAATCAATCCTACAATCCTATCAATTCAAAATCTTATCCAAACCAGAACTCCCTTCAAATTCTGACTTTCGCACACGCCTCTCGGCCTGACCCATCGCAAAACGTCATCATCAATGACCCACAGTTTCATGAACAGCATTTTTCCCCTGCTCTGACTCATTCTTCCAAACGTCAACTTCTAATATCACACTCTCAACGCCGGTGTCAACGCCACCAAATATTCTGAAGTTATGAATATAAACTTTTTAATTAATAACAGAAATTTCCTTCCTTCGAACCCGAATCAAGTCCTTCTTGGAACTATCCCTCACCAAATTGTTTGCCGTAGTGGAATCCTTCAGCCTCTT